TCTTTAAACTAATAAAAAAAAACATGGAAACATCTTTAAAAACTGGCTTTGCCCAAATTTTCTCTTGCTGCCCAAAAAAAATCTGAGTTGCCCAAAACGCCCCCCCCCGGCCTGTACGTCTATGAATTTGACCAAAATTTTTCAAAGAGTCAAATGCCCGGGGGTTTGCCCGGTGGGGGTGGGAGGGGGGACATGGGTTGTTTTGGAATTGACTGGTACATTAAGAAAACTTCGGGGTGTCCACCACCAAGAAAACACTTCTAATAATGACACCAGTTCTTTTTCATCATGTATTTAGGTAACCTAGAAGGCGGGGAGTAAACAGTTTAAAACAACAAAAGTCATGCCGATTAGATGATATACATCGCATTTCTTTCGCCAAAGAGTGCCAGAGTTGACAAGAAATAACAACAACAACTGAGAGCTACAACAACTAGCAAGGACGTCATACAGATAATAATAGAATACAAAAAGTGATGACGTCGTAAAAACTGAAATTGGAAACTGAATTATGAGATTCGTTGGGGTATTCAGAAAGAACAAGACAAAAATGGCCTTTTGCCATCAGAGTATAACGAAGCCAGTCAGGTCGGGTCACACCAATTTGCTCTAACTCGCTGATTTTTGGCAAGGAGGAATTTTTTTTATTTTGTTCCCTTGGACGATGTTAACAAATCCCACAATTTCCCAAATTCTAATTTGTGTGAGGTCACATCCCACTTTACTCTATTTTCGAACCATTTCTCCAACCTCGTTCCCAGGGTTCTCTCCTACCCGTCCCTACAGAACCTGGGAACGAGGTTGCCATTTCTCTTGAAAATTTTTCTCTCATCGTTTTTACCAAACTCTAAAGCTCTTTCCTACGAACTGAAATAGTAACTAGTAGTAATCAAAGATTATAGGCGCCGCTGTAGGGCATTACACACTGAAACTCGTTTCATTAAATACAGTATACATCAGCTGTCGCCAAAACTCCAAGAATCACCAAAGCTCAGATCAAAGCTACGAAGAAATGGATTTTACCTCGCCTCTAAATCGCACTGAAGTGTTACAAAAATTTTGAAGAAATTGTGCTTCTACGAACTGAAATAGTAAATATATGTGACTTCGCTTAGACTATGATATCAACAAAAACTTGACATTACCTTACTTGAAAGCCACTTATAAGCCGGATAGGACCGACGAGGAGGGGAGAGCGGTAACGGTTCAGAAAAAATATGTATACGGAATGAGCTGGGAAAGAAGGCAGGATCTGAATTTTTTCCATTTGGAAAATTTAAGTTCTACAATAAAATTTCTTTTGAAACCTTCCGGTACCGCTACAGGCGATTGCTAAAACGTGCTTTTCGCTAATCGGTCTCATAACCTTCATTATATGTAAACAGCTATAACTATATTTTTATCGTGTTTTCCGTGCGTGAAACCAGCTCCGACCAGCCGAACAATTTCACATATACATTTTTCTTCAAATTACACACTTTCACTTCGGTCACAGCAATCTCTGATTCGTTGATTTTAGGCAAAAACTACGCACGCGCAGAACTGCAGGATATTCTACACTCACGGCTTTACCACCTTCAGTTTAAAAAACGTACAAGCGCTTTACTTGGCACTGGTCGGTATCGAGCTTAAAGCTTTCCCAACTGAAGCTTACCGGATAGGGCGTGGGAAAAGTAGTTACCACGGAACTTTCCTCGGTTTTCTACAATGAAACCGTGAAAGGTAAATATGTAATTAGTCAGCGTGTTTTTTACTTAAATGTGTTAAGAAAGACTTAACCGCAAGATGATGCTGGGTACGTTTAAAAGAAAATAACTTTCGATTGCAGATTATTCAAATTTCGGCGCTAAGCCAAATATTAAATTCGTGTACACTGAAGCGGACTTTTTTAGCATAGACATTTTTCTTTAGATGTGAAAACGTATTAAAAAAATTCCAAAGCTAAGCATAAGACAAGACAGTTCTCACCATGTCGAAGTTTTTTTTTGCGGCTATGCGACAAAAAAAAATTAACAGACATTACCTCTTACATAAGTGTTCCTCGGCAAAAAATAGAATCTCCATGAAATCTTTTGAGTTTGAGGTGTAAATTTATAATTCATGACAAATATCGTTAAAAAAAAATCTGCAGTGGAACCTCGATATAACGAACATCTATGTTACAAACTCCTCGGTATAACGAAAGATTTTTTTTACCGCAGTAAAAGTAAAATATATAGAATAGAACATCGAAATAACGAAACCTTGTTATAGCGAACATATTTTGCCAGTCCGAGGTTCCACTGTACCATGTGTCAGCTGCCATTAATGAAATTAAAATATCTCAAAATAACCTCGAAACTGAAGGGTCAACAATAAGGAAACCACAGAATTCTGTTTAGGATTAATACGTTACTTCAAGTTTTTGCCCGTGAAAAAGTTGAGTGGCACTTTACCGGAATCTTGCTGCTAACTGGCGAAATACCCTGCTATTAATTTTTCACTTTAGTTGAAAGCTTGCAAATTGGGAAACGTGATGTATTCCCAGCAGGAGAAACAGCTGTTTAAGCGAAAATGTGTGTTTTTTAAAGAAACAATAGTATGTACAGAAATCCGAAAAGGCTTAACGCATTACTGTTTAAACAAACAAACAAAAAATACAACAACTAACTACACAATACATGCTAAATGTATGATATATTGCCAAGGTCAAGCTGAGACGAAGTGTTTACATGTATACTACAAGTATACAAAACATTGTACAGAAAAAAAAGATGTGCAGATATATTATTCTCAACAGTATTTATCAAGAGGTTCTTTTTTCACAATGATAGCAACAATTGGCAATTTCCAAGAACGACTTAAAATAAATAAATAAATAAATAATAAGTAAAATATCACGGTTTCAAAAGAAATCCCCACGCAGTGTGTCAGTTTCGGATTTCGCAACAGAACGAAACATGAAGACCCCACCTTTAAGTGGCTGTTTGAAAAACGTTCAGTCAAACAAACCAAGAATTCCACTACTAGCAAACAGACACGTTTTAAAAGATGCGTTAACGATACAGTAATGCTCTTACGTCACTGAAACGTTTTTAAAAAGCATCATCTCAAAGTTGACAAAGCCTTTGATTCGCAAGATTCCTATGCAGTATGTTGCTGAAGATTTAGGACAAGTTTTTCATCTCTTTTGATCTTAAGGAAAAAAAGAAATAACAACGACAATAATATTTCCATCACCACTACCAAGAAAAAAATATCTTAAGTGCAACTTAAATCACGTTTAGCTCATTTTTTAACCAGAATGCAAGTCGATAAAAAGATCTCCAACGCCCACACTGCGGTAAATGATAGTTCTGTAGTACTTATACCCGGATATAGAGTGTTTCAGAGGAACCCTGCCGAAACATTTTTTGTTTTCGTGTGTGCGAGTTTTTTTTTTTTAATTTTTTTTTTATAATTAGAGGATCACTGTATCTATGGAGATAGAGTAATAATGTACATTCTGCTTATTCAAGGTACCATAATATATAAATTAGCCCAATAAAGCCTTGAGCGTAAATTCTTCAAGGGAGTACGTACATCCTTTCCTGTGACGTGGTCGATCGAAGTCTTATGGTTAGAAATGGATCTATATTGTTACATTTTTCCCATTTTTTGCTTGCTGTGAATTCTCTCAATTTCTACCCCTAAAGGGGCCCGTAACCAAACAGCTTAAAAACAAATAGGTCACGATGGCGGGGCATATGTGCCATAAAGCTTGTAAATTACGTAAATTTCTCCCTTCTCCCGCTGAATTTGGTACATATACATTCAAGTTACATAGTTGTGACCAAGCACCAGGTGACACGGGAAGAGTAAGATGAAAACTCCTTTCCCCTCCCTCTTAGAGAGCTTCCTCGCTCATTACATGTCGAAGCGACGAACCATCGTTGTACCAGTAGGTATTCTTCATAATGTCATAATATCAAATGTTTCCCACGCGATAAACGTTACGCCTCAAGACCAACAGCGTATTAGTCAAACCCAATTGTTTCCGGCATTGTAATAAAAGATAATAGAACTTTACATCTCACTGAATACTAAGTATGTCATAATATCCCCACAGACTGCGCATAAGCCATAGAAAGCTGTTACGGTTCAAAGACACAGCGGCGAATTGAATCCTAAAGAATTAATACGTCAACCAAAACGGACCTAGAGGTTGATTGAAGTACATTGGCAATAAGATATCAAGTGAGTAAAACAAATTATAGTGCAAAATTAAGCCCTTAGCTTAATTGAATTAGATAAAGTGATATACAAAGAGGGGTTAAAATGCGTTAAGTTTCAGTGGTGTGTACCTTAAAAAGGTAAACTGGTCTTACCAAAATTTTTCTTACCCTTTTTTCATGTACAAACTGGTAGTTATTTTTGTTAGAGTTTAGGGAAAGTTATGTGGTGAAAAGATTACTTTTCCACCTACATAATCGTATCGGAAAAAATTTATACATTTAAGATGTCTATACATTTATTGTAGGGTAAATGTTAGTGTCGATGGATGAACAAACGGATATATCGAACTAGAATGGAAGAGCTGCCCAGAAGATTCATTAACTCCAGGGCAAAAGACTGTCTTTATTTGTCTGTGGAGAATTAGACAGCCAACAGATTACTAAAATATCATTCATAAGGAAAATTTAATCCTCTCTGAATATTGTTAGATCTCTAATAAAAAACTTTGCAAATCGCGATTAGAAGCGTGCTAATGCGATGGCGCCACTAGCAATACCATACAAGCCATTGCTTTTTTCTTATTTCCCACACGGTCACCACACCTTATTAGTCACAGCCTTTTTTAAAAAACTAGCCACCATGAACAATGGTCGACAATTGATCTCTCAGACTTGACCAACGTCAGAATTTTCAAGAACACGATAAAATTCAAAAACTACGTTATACACAATTTCCAGTTTTGCACCTGTCGTCTTGGCTGAGTCAAAACAAGAAAAACTATCACAAACACCTTTTTGTTTTTCCAGATATTACTAGCGCCCCTGGTTCGAATCGATCTTCTTATTGAGGTAAGCAAAGGAAATTGACTCTATAATGAACCAAAAGAGAAACAGGCGACGTGAATAAAGTCATTCACACAGGAGAATTGCATTTGCACACCACAAGGTTTTAAGAATAATAACTGAAATTAACCTGCTGAGCCGAAATGTAGTCTGTAGAAAAAGGGCTTTGCTAGAAACTTCAAAGGAAACACAATTGTTGGTTAATATACACAAAATGAACTTCAAAAACTGCCAGCAAGGGACTAGCCACGCAATTCTGAACAAAGGGGCGTCAACATCACAGATTATATGAAAAAAACAACTGCACGATATTAAAAAGACCGAAAGGATTACAATAAAGATCACGCTTCCAATGCGACTCGACAAAGTTTTCAACATGTTTCTGATATTTTTCCAAAAAAAAAAATATTTAGAATTTTAATGGATCCATATAATGCAGAGCCATTTGAAATCTAAAATGTTTTGACGACTGAACCATGCATTTAACATGTTTTATATCTACTTCTTTAAAACTGGACAACTCCACCTTGAGGCACCTTGGATTTTACAGTACCCATCAAAGTTGTCAAAGCATTTGTGGAAAACATGTCAAAACCTAAGTCAGATGGCAACGCCGTGGCGCGGTCTATAATGTAAACAGAAACATTCACTTACAAACTAAACGATTACTTTCACTGAGTTAAAACACTGAAGTAACCATTCGATTCTGAAATTAAGCCAGTTGAATTAAAAAATTACAACTTATTTGACACAAACACTTATGCACAATAGAAAAATAGAAGTTTTTTTATTTACATTTAGACAAAAAGCTGTTTTTTGCCTTTACAACTTGTAGTCAGGAACCTAGTTTACTTGTAGTAAGGGGTGCGATTTAGTTTGAGTAAAACTGCATACCATCATTTTTGTACACCAAAGTTTTCCTTTTCTTGGTTATTGCAATTATTGTTGTCAAACCAAGCTGTTTGTTTTGACACAATACTCGAATCCAACATTTTCAGTCCAAAAATTGTAAGACTTTTCCATTTCCGCAAGCAGCCGTTCCTTTTTTGTCTTGTTATGAACGCATTAGGAAAATTACAGGAAAGCACAGCATGTATAATAAATTTATAGTAAGCCTATGTATAAAAAGAAACACTATATGAAACAGCGTGAGAGCGTATACAGTTGAACCTCTCTACAACGGCCACCTTGGGAACAGAAGAACGTGGCCATTGTAAAGAAGTGGCCGTTGTAGAGAGGTTGAAACAAGAGTCAATGTATGGACTTTTTTGTCCGCAGGAACGAAAAAAATGGCCGTTATGGCCGTTAGCGGAGGTTTGACTGTATTTAAAAACACTGCGGAGAATCACGACATTATTCACATTCCCGTCGAGTTTTACAACCTTTATTAGCTCATTTTAGCAATTTCCGTGAAAGGTATTTAACTCACATCAACAAGGCCGTTTTTCTATTCTCGGGGAACTGCTGATCAAAGAGGTAAAACGTCTCCCGCTTCCGCCGTACCCCTTGTGGTCAAGTTACATAAAAAATGATAATCGACGTAACAGCTACCGGCGTCCGACGTTGATTCCAGTCAAACTCTATAATTTAACGCCAGACTTTACCGGTTGTTTGACGCTACATCAGTTTACGAAACTGGGCCAAGCTTGTTGCACCATGTAATAAAATCAGGAAGCCTAGTGCGCTGAAATACTAAGTAATAGATATCGCAAAACTCAAACACAAAAATATGTCGTCACTATAAAAAATGCGCCACAAGGACTTTAAGGGGAAAAAGGCAAACTTTCGCTTTGTAAAATATATGGTATCACATGGGATCAAGGTTTCACATGGATGGTCACAGAAACGTATTTCATAACGGTCTTCACAATAGACCTTTTTTACCGATACGGCGGCCACATTGAATTTATTAGAGTTGAGGAGTATTATGGGATGTCCACGGGGCACTCGCTCAGTATTTACGCGCGCTTTTCGGGCAAAAAAGAACTTCACTGTATATTTCTCCGCAGAAAGGCGATCCTTATTACATCCAAACACGGCACTACGATCTTTTTTCCCCCAATAAAATCTTTTTGTACGAAAACTTAAAGAAAAATTGGCCCGAAAAGTGCGCGTAGATACTGAGCGATTATATCGGATCGTGCATCCTATAATACTCCTTAAATCTAAGTAATTCAATGTGGCCGCCGTATCGGTAAAAAGGTCAATTGACTCAGGGGGTAAAATTGGTTAACGAAATTTTCTTTGTGCAACTAATCATCAAGGTAAACCCGCACGATTAACGTCTTGAAATTATGTGATTATTCCAAGCCCTTCACATTCATCCTCGATTTACCGAACTATTGTGGTCCCTCATGACACCTAGGGGGAGCGCCGCAGCGAAGGGATGGCACCGCCGTCAGTGGTAGTGTGAACAAGATTTTTATCAGTGTGAACCAGGTTCTAGTTCCAGAGTCGACGCCATTTTGCTTCTATTTCTCCTTTTCGAGAGGTCTCTATCCTGGTACTTAGGGTTCCTCTCTCCTGAAAAATCAACTTTCAAAATTCCAATTCGATCTGGAAGTTCTAGAAACGTGTCACCATCTCTAAATAATGTTAGTTTGGTTTGTGTTCGCGTACTAGTAGATTGGTTTTAAACGCATATTCCCCCTCGAAGGTCAAGCAACTGCCTATTAGGACAGAATTAGAGAACTTATGAAAAACCGTTTTCGAACATGTGCACAGATGAACCCTTTTCGATGAGTTTAAGGCAATGTATGTCCACACAACTCCATTTAAACCCGTTTTAACCTCAAACCTGTGTCTGCGGCTTAGTCTACATGCAAAAAGTAATTGTTAACAAACATTTCATAAACAACCTGCAAGATGGGTAAGTGTTCGTATTGGTCTCCCGTGAACAGGCCTTGTGTGCGTATACAAAATAAACGGATTCGTACAGATATTGGGCCATTTCGAGGCTGCGGGTGAAACTAGGTAGGAGCTGTTTCGAATAGCACCGTTGGACTGTTTGGGAGGACAAAATTTGACTGATTTCCCTTGACAACCTTGAATACTGTAAAAAACCCGCCACTAAGAACCTGGTTTTTAAGAACCTGTTAGGCCCCTTCTATACGAGAACCTGTTTAGCCTAAAATTTGAAACAGGTTCTTATTTTCTAAAATCTATAAAAAAAATCGTCTTTGGAGATATAAGTGTCTTATCACTCCAACTGCAATGTAATGGTATGCAGATATGTAAGGAATAAGATGAATATACCACTAAATACTATTACCCGGTCGCTTCAATGTATTTTTTTCTTCAAAAAATGAGAGCCTATATATAGCCTAAATTTGCGCTAATTACCATTTCTTTAAGATCCTGTTTAGCCAAACTCGAGAAAGTACATGTTCTTAATCGCGAATTTTTACTCTAGCCAACAAAAGAGGCGAAAGAGTCTCGCAAACAATCACATGGTGCAATGCGACCCAACACCGACCCAGCTTAAGATCAACTTTAAGGTGGCTCGACTGGATATACCTCCCAAGTTTAAGCATTAACTACGTCGGCATGAGTAAAAAAAGAAATGGGTAAAAGGTTACTACAGCCGTAGTATATAAAGATGAAAATTTCTTATGATCTGGGTTTTATTGCAATCGGAGTCGCCATGGCAACCTAATGATACCAATACGTTTTTTATTTATCTTTGTGTTTCTCTGTACCAGGAGTTTTTTTAAGAAAAAAACATCACTGACTTGTTTTGTTTTAAGCGCGCACACTACAAAGCCTTTATTTTTTATGTTTCCTTTCATGATGCATGCTAGCCTTGAGACAATTCTTATGTATCTGAAGTCCACTGATGAAGGGCCAGACCCGAAACGTCTGGAGATTGAACACACAAACATCACAAGAAGGCACTTTTGTTCATTATCCTTTTTTTGTACTGAACATTCCTTTATTTACCTTCTCTTATCGGAATTTTTTCCCTTATTTATTTGTTTTGACATACTTTGACGGCTCGTGACGACGCACGCGACAGGGACACAAATAGTTCGCGCCAAATGACGTCACTTGATGCGATTTTTTGCAGAGGAAACAAGTCGAGCTCTCGCTCTTTCGCTCGTTGTTGCCGCAGAAAACACAAAAAATCTACCGCTCGCGAAAAATTTGAGCTCGACTTGTAGGCAAGTCTAACAGTTAGCAAATATTTTAAGAAAATGACACACTTTAGAAACGCGGCTTCATCTCATAGTGGTTTGACTCCACTGAGAATTGCGTGCACAAAAAGAGGGGAATTACTCAAGACGATCGGGATTTAGAGAACAATTTTATCAACCTTCAGTCAGCTACTTTTGTTACAGTTTTTGCTCGTAATTTGGTCAAAAACAATTTATCACGGTTATTGAAAATGTAAGGGTCGAAATATATTTACGTTTTATTTGAATTCAAGCATAAAGAATTTTTTACTTATCAAGGAGGTTATTTGCTAAACACCTCACTATAATTAAGTTCCTGGTGTCGGATTTTCAGTAGCAGGTTTAGATCGCGTAAAATTCGGATTTTATCAATTTTTGTTTATTGTTGTCATAGAGATACCGATTTTAATAAAAACTGCATTTTGACAAACTTCAATTCATAGTCAATCACTGGTGAAAGGTTTGTAGCGACCGGACAAGGACAAAATCACTTTTAACGCAATTGAAAAACTTCGGTATGGTCTCCGAAAAACTGTATCGAGATTGTATGTTTCTGATTTTAAACAATCGCATGAAGGTGCGATTCTTTCTCTCTGTCTTCTACTATTAAGCCGGAAATTTACTTCACTGAGAGACAAAGTAATAAATTTATTAGCAGCTAAACTCCAGGGGAAATCTCTGAATATAAATAAACTTTAAGTGAGGAAATCAGAGAGCATAAATGAATGGTGATTCTTGAAATTGATCCGTGGATCATTTTAGCATGCTGCCTTTGGCCTCAGTTTAGAAAAATTACAAAAATTCAAGGTTGGCTTCAGTAATCGGTTGACTGTGACGATGGCTTTAAGTTTCTAACTTGGAAGCAACGTTTAGTTTAGAAAAATGATTGTACCACGGCTAAATATGTTTGGCTTAACTGTCCATGCATTAGCGAATTTCTTTAGATGATTTTGATTGCGATTTTCCTATTGCACAACAACGGGCATTTGAGGTTATAATTAAAAAGCGTATGATAAATATGACATCCGGTTAGCAATGCGAAAACTGGACAATTAAAGCATCAGTTCGATCCTAACCATTCAACGGAAAAATGAATGGACAATTTCTTATTGGCTGTTTTCACATTCGCTTAGTTAACATCCTGTTTATATGACCATAACATTTAATGGATTATTTCTGTAAGTCTATTTTTAACTGAAAACTGAAAAAAAATTGAATTACTTTGGATAAAAGTATTCAAATTACTTTTGGCTTCCATTCTTGGCAGTAATTTCCGAACCGAACTCATTTTTATCATTGTTCCCCCTAAACCACCTAAACTCACTCAGGACGTCAGTCCTATTTGGCTGCTTATTTTGCTTAACAGGTAAGCTGAAGGCATGCAAACTGTATTCCAGAATTCATTACGACAGCACTGAAAGGTAAAATTTACCGATAGACTGTCTACAGCCAGAACCCTATTTTACAGTCAGATTGTTGTGATCGAGGGCTCATTACGGTGAAACCTATCACAGGCTAAGGTTTATTCTATAGTGCCGCTTTTGAGGATTCCTATAGACCGAGGTGAGAAACCAGAACGGAACAGTTATCGCGTTTTTTAAGTTGCGAAAGAATGGTCGTTAAACGTTCGGAACTCTAATGATGATTTTAAAAGCAAATTTACCAGTCAGTTATGTTGAAAAAAAATCTAATTACAGCTGAGAAATACAATACAGGCAAAATGTATTTAAGCGGTCACTTTCCCCCGAAAATGAAAGAAAATCCCGAAAATGATTTCCCTTGATTACTTTAAAATTAACACGTTTTAAGCGGTCACCTCTATTAAGCAGACTTTTAGCATCAGGTTTTCATGGTTAACGGCAAACGGCAAACCTGAGGATATCACGTGACCTCGGTCTTGCGGTCGCGTTTGCAGTTTGTAGTTCACTTTTGCACGGCAGGAAAAGTTTCCAGCAGAAAGTGATTTACGGCAAGGTTTATTGCCATTAAAAATTATACAGTCTCACGTTTAAAGGCAAGAAATAGGTTTCTGCACCCGCCTGTGAAGTGCCAAATAGATTTTTGAACTCGAATCAATGAATTCTTCATGTTTTTCAGGCGATAAAAGTGAAGCACCGTGACTTGACGAAAAACAACATGGTGGCACTACACAGTACTACTGTAAAGTGCTCTGCTAAAATTAGAAATCTTGACAACGTGAATCTGCAAACGAGTAATTGCAAACTGCAGTTTACGGTTTGCGGTTTCCCAAGTAAAACCTGATGCTAAAGGTCTCTATTGTCTTCACTGTGCATGGTATTCAGTGGTATTTTGATCATTTTCTTTTGGCACCAGCCATGTAGAAACTTTTCGAGGTCAATATGTCAGTCTTGTTATGGATATTTGGCTTTGATTCCTTTATAATCTCTTGGGTTTAGTGTCAAACCTGTATTAAACCGTAAAACTGTATTAAGCGGTCAGTTGGTCCAGCGGTATCCCACAAAGATGACCTCTTAAAGCTGCTGGTTTGTTGACTATAGTTGTTTCTCTAGGCACCAGACCCACTCTTCCTCTTTGTCCAAAGTTACGCTAGCAACCGCGCTATCGTTTTGTTTAACGTCTCACGAATCTTTATCGTCTGTAGGTGTCAGTAATTTTGATATTTTTTGGTTTTCCGTTCATCGTTCCATGTTTTTGCAACACAGGTTATTATTCGTTTTCACTTTACTTTGTAAAATAGCGTATTTTCGATCCAAATAGCGTAAATGACCTGATATAGGATTTAAAGGAGTGATATGGATCTCTAGACGGCCTAGATGTATCAATTGATGAAGTGGATATTCCGCTATTTTAAAACTCTCTTGATACTTTTGCCGAAAGCATTTTAGTTTTGTTGGGCTTGATACAGTTAAGACAATAAACTCCTCTCTTTTAATCACCTCCTACCTATTAAACGCCCCAGCTTGGACCCCTAAAATTAAATAGACGCCTCGCCCGGGCGTTTATTAGGTCATTTACGGTAATTCTTTGTCAGAAACCCGGCTCTTGGAGTAACGTTCATAGAGAGAGTTCTGGAGGTCGTCTTTAACCTATTCTGTTAAAGTATCCACAACAGTCGTCAAATTTCGCTGAAACGCTAGACGAAAACTAAGGATTTTTCACTTTACAACGTCTCAACCGATTTGTCTGATTTTTCACAGTGCGGTCTGTTCCATCTTCAAGATCTTCAAGATTGAAGGACCTCTGCTCGCAGGGCAAAACCCGGCGAGTTTGTCAAACAAATATGACGATTACTTTAGATGGCAGTTTATTCATTATTCGCTCCTAAATGGCCGTCGTGAAGTGCTTGGCCAACGCGACGCAATTTGATGGCTGATATGATGTCGACCTGGAGAAGAGGTGGTTGTGGTTAATGTATAGACTTTCCGGCGAGACAATAAGAAATGACGGTTAGAAATTAAAAGGCTGGTCATCTTGGTTTCAAATTAAGCGATAGACGGATGTCAGGAGTGTGTAGTGTCGGGTTTAGAGGGTTTTGTTTTTTGACCCAGAGAAAACTTGTTGTTCATTATTTGTGTATTTATATAGACGAAGAGAATTTACTAAATCAAGTTTAGTTACACGATTTTGACATCAGATATTTCCTTATAAAAGTCTAATGAGAATTGTCAGCGACTATTATCATGAATTGACGCGGGCTACCAAACCAAATCTGAAAATCTGCAAACTGATTACCCTTTCAAAATCTAAATAAGATATTGATCAGAAAGAATTGCAAGACTTGTCTGCATTTCTCACTTAATTTAGATTTAGATTACGGTCAGTTATAAGCTATAATGGAAACCTCCCTTCAATTTATTTAACTGTTTTTGTTGTTATAGCTAATTAATAACCTGAAAACTTGTTACTCAAAGATTTGGCTACAATTTCTGCGCAAACAAATCAAAGTGTTTTTTAATATTCAACCTGAATCCCTTGTTTATTTTAAATCACATTACAAGCGCGGTTATTATTGCTACTTTGGCAGGTACCAATTAAAAACATAGTATGATAAATAAATTCTTTAACTACTAGTTTTAATTTAAATGCAAAACAAAAAACTTCTTGTTAGGAAAATTGGCCTAAATTTTCTCTTCTCTTCAATTACTGGTCTTTTTCAATTACGTATATTTTATCTCGTACTGTTATAAAGCAATTGTAGCTATTGTTTTTCTTTCCAAAGCAAATATTGACAAAGCAAATTAATCAGCGGAAAATGCGCCTTAAGTTACACCTTCACATTCTCCGGTACAAGACGCATATGTACACGTCGCGCACAGCCTGTATTTAGTGGGATTTGACTCTTTACCATAAAGGCTTATTTATCGGTAGGTAGCTTTCAGTGCTTTTCAAATGTTTGACGATTTAGTTCCATTATCCGGACAAGCGCATAACACGACGAGTAATATTTAAGCATTTAAGTACATAACCGCTATTTGAAATAGCAATAGGAAACTCTACAGAAAACGTCATTATGATTTCACTGACTGGGTTGACTAGTGTACGCTCGACATGAAGGATGTGTCGCTATCACAGCTGATGAGATCAGTGGCCTTAGTATGCGCATGAGAGCTTTAGTTATCGTTTGACACTGAAGGAGGGGATATCCCTTAGAAAACAGTCTCTTTCATCTACAGTGCATCTACCAACTCTGAAAACAATATATTTTTTACCTATGACATTTAACTTGAGTTTTTCGCAGCAGAATTCACTTTTTCTTCTATGAATCGAGCTTCGGTCCTTTTAACGTCCGATATCATTAAATATGCAGTTATGAGTTAAGAAAAACAGTGAAACATTGTATGATTCACGGTTCAGGCTACTGATATGAATCCGTTAGAGTTTGTAGCCCTAACGCTAAACGTATACAAACTTATGCGTTAAATTCATGGCTTTGATGGGTCTTTTGGTTATCCTACATATTACCGGGTCCAGTTGCATAAAACCTAGCTTCATCGTAATTGCTGAGGTGATCTAAGGTCCGACGACGTTACTTAAAATAAAGAGTTTGACTGTCCTGAACGTCAGACGTTAACAGTTAAATTAACTGTTAACGTCTGACGTTCAGTAGCTCTTTGAAATATACCGATTCATAATGAAGATTTCCACACATAATTCCATACAAAAGGTGAGATAAATACAGGAAACGCAAGGTTCCATGCACAGTTTCAGCTCGATTTACACAGCTTTGATCAAAACATTCTCAGTTTCGAGAATAGTTTATTCTACACCTTACGAAAAGATTTAATTAGAAGTTGAATTTTTCGCTATTTCTCTTTCACTTTTTACATTCAGTTCATTTTATTTGCCGGAAAGTAAACCTTTGAAATTAAAAGGACGTTTGATCGATTCACGCTCGCGCATTCTAGTCTTATTTGAAACTTTATAACGCAAGGACATCTGTGAGCAGGGGAAAAGTCAGCACAGAATTTGATTGTCGGCGAATTCATGTAATTGTCCATCAATCTGCTACTGATAAGCTAGCCGTTGTTCACTCGTCTTCCTTGTTTGGGGCTGAGTCTTATTCCGGTCAAAGAGAGAGAAAGAGTGTCTGACAAGGTTTCCAAGATAAATCAAAGATTTGTGAACTCGTGTCTGGCAAACCTCCAAGAGTTTATATAAACACAGTTAAACGCACCTTATAACCTCATCTGCGCTTAACGAGTGTCTTTTGGCCCATAACTTTCAAAACAACTGCTCCACAGAATGTCACTGCGTAACGCAAAAGAGTATCGAAGTATGACTGCACAATAACCGATTCCTCGCGGCCCCTGTTCGAGCAAATCGAGATTTTTTCTAGTATACTGACTGTATATTTGAACTGTAAGTACTGTCCTTAATATACGCGCGAGTTACTAGGGTGCCTCCTCGGGATTTCGCCTCTGAAATCCCTGCGGGGGCAATAATACCTATAAATTAGATTCATTTCCCTAAGGTGTGTTTATTGTTGTCCTCCTTTGTCCCGCCTCGATTAGCCTCGTAGCTATTACGGGGTCAAGCCAAACACTGTATTAATTCATCATAGTGCAATTTTACAAACAAAACCGTCGTTGTTGTTACTAGAAGTATCGTCAATTGTCACCTTTTTATGCTGTGGACTGCTTTATTACGCGATTGAATCTAAACATGCGCACTATATAAATAATAGGTTAGATAACGTGATCTTTGGCAGTTTCGTCAATCGTCACTAGTTGATTTTCAGTCATTTTAAGAAACAAAATTTCATAAAGCAAAAAAAGACTGGTACTTTTTCAAAAAAAAATTTTGTCGCAAACTGTTTTAACACATGCGCATGTGCTTAACTGATAGGCGACAAAGACTGGTACTCGTTCAGAACAACATAAAACAATGATTTGATTGAAATTCTCCCACGACATGAAAATCGATTTTTAGTTTGGGATGCTGCTATTTCCCCCCTGAGTCTAACAACACACTTCTTTGTTACAGGAGAACAGAAATTCTTACAACTCAAGAAAGGAAGTAAGGTAGGTGTATTATTTCAAACGAAAAAACGATTAACGAATCTCGCCAGCAAAAGAGTGCGAATTCAACTTAAACCTAAAAGGTCTAATTCCTTAGCGATTCAGTATATTTTTGGTTTGGATTGGAAGGGCAATATTTAGTGTAACATGATTTATTTATATTCTTTCAAATCATTATTTTGATTGGCTTAACGCCCGCGGCTAATTCTTCATAGCTAATCGGCATTGACTAAATTACTTTGGAAGGTTCGAACTACACACCATCAATTCGATGTTATATTGGCTTGGAAACTAGATTGATAAATGGTATATTGACCAGGAAACGAGGTTACATGGGCAATAAACTGCAGAGGCATTAGGTTCGATTACCAGCCGCGCGCTGTTCGGAAGGTGTTAGCCCAAGGTATCTTCTCGGAGTGAAACAAGACCGGAGCCAAGAGAGCGGAGGGCGGAAATCAAACCTACCGAGGAATCAGCGAGATGTAGAGGAAAAAATGTTATAAGATTCAATAAATAATAAATAACAAATGAATTTGGCTTTCACATGATAGGGAGAACAGACTTCCTCCTCCTCGGGTAATTCGTTTTTTTCGCAGTTTGGTCGCGAACAAAGGCAAGCGCGAATCGGAACTGAAGAGTGGCAAAGCGCAAGAGACCATGGGAAGGGGGAAGAAGAAAGAAGAGAGGCGAAGCATCTTCTCGCCCGTTTTCTCCTTCCCGCCTTCCTTTGCGAGCAAATTTACATCGAAAGAGCGACGTCTGGAAACGAGGCAAGCCTTCAGAGATCTGCATACTTCTTCATAACATACGAAGCTGAATTCAATAATTGTTCAGTTATTCTACTCCCAGCAAGGTGCATTCTATCGTTGCTTTTATAATAGCACCTTTCAAAAGAAAAAAGGGGCCGTCAAATCGCGGTTGCGAAATATTTATACTGTCCTGAGATGTAAGGCTTTCGTCTTCACAACAACCAATTTGCGCAAAAACTCGCCCGAAGGTACCTCCATCATAACAAATTCTCAAATCCTCTCTGCGTTGTCCACGTTTTCATAGCGGAGCTCTGGCACGCGAAGCGCGCCTAAGGAGCACCATGGGTAAGTAAATTTACCCGACCCAGAAAATTTGGTAATCACGTGACCGTACACCGCCCGCCCGTCCGTCCGCATCACAGGGCAACCAATGTTCAACCTCATACTTTCTAGCTAGTTTGGGAGCACAGGAAGACTGATATTGCAGACATATTGCACTTCAATGTTGTGATCAATTGACATCTGTCAAAACAGGGTATGCGCTGACCGTATCGTGGGCGCAGGTGCCGACCCATCGAGGTCGAGTATCGTTTTGAAGTTATCCGCTGACAAGTTACTAGTTTTCAAATGATTGCAGGTAGTAGTCTCTTTTGCAATTTAAATCGCTGTGCCGTTTGTTTTAAGTCGCTTATGAACATCGCTTGCAGGAGTAGTCAAAATGCCGCGCGTATCAAACGCTTTTGAAGATTACACGTCGTTATAAAATCATTAAATAAATAATAAACATAATAAATTCTTTATTATGTTGACTAAGCGTATAACTATATTAATCTTAATTTAAAAACTTTGGCGCTTGTCAAAAGTGAGAACCGGCTAGCCGTATAGGTGATTTTGGAAATTTTGTTGACGGTTTCGCTAAAACTGAGCCCACGCTTGCTTCGATGGTCCTGAACATTGAATGAGTGTAATTTGTATTGCAAAATTGTGAAATACTGCATTCTGTCCGAGGTCTGTACGATAAAAACAGCGTCTAATGGTACTGTTTCACCTCAGATGTGATGTATAAAAAGTATAAAAGGTTGGTTTACACGTCCCCAGACTTGTTTGCAAGATTTTGTAAAGTAAACTTGTCGAACGCAAAAAATTCGGCCTGATTTGTTTTCCAGCCCTAATCTACTGTGATCAAGAGCCATGATGGCTCTTAAATGTGATCGAAAATAATTGGTATTTTTTGGGTGTACATATAAGGCTATCAACTTAGCCTGTAGTGCAGGTGTATTTTGGGTCGGCGAAACAGTTGTTTGTGTTCGTATTGTTGTAGCCGCCATCTTTGATTTTATGACAGTGGAAGATTGGGGAGAGTAGAAATAGTAACCCTAAGGGTAGGTGCGAAGGCGAAAGAAGAAAGGGGGAGGGCGAGAGGAGAAAAAAATACGCCTGCCCGATATCATTGTTCTTTTGGGAAACTCCGTACGCTGGCAAACGGAGCTCCTGATTGGTGCGGCATAGGGAAGTAGATTGATGCCTGTCAATTAACGGTAAGTCTATATTGTTTATTCCATTTATATTTGCATGCATTTGCGGGAAAGAATTATTCCGAATTCAGAAATGGCGGACGTAAATTCGAATTTTAACTCAGCTGTCGAAGCAAGTCTTTTGGAATTGGAGCGGCTGGGAATGTCGCGTGTATTACGCAATGAGAAAGTCAAAGCGATTTCTACACTGGTCTCCAGGACAAGATTTGCTCGCAGTACTAAAACCTACACCACTTTTACCTCATGCCAAAATGCTGCCTGTTCCAATACGTTTTTTTTTTCTGGCGAGTAGATCATGCTCTAGAGGGTTCTATGCTTTCACTGAGCAAATGTGATTTTAGCCGCTTGTTTCCCACTGAGAGGTCATGACACGCTTATTGATTTTCTATGGTTTTTGAATTTCTGGTTTCCATGATTTGCCCTTTCCCTGCTAGCAGAGGTCTCTCGTCGTGAGAGACCTCTGCTAGCAGGGAAATTTGCCCTCTGATGCAACAGCGTTTTCTTTGACCTCTTTTGAGGCGTAAAGCTCTCTTTTGTGGCTAAATAAGGCTGTTAGGTTCTTTATTTTTGTCCAAAGTGCCTCAGGATCTGAATAACTAAGCGATTTTCTTTCTAGTACGAGAACGTGATGTTTTCCTGCAATGTATATTCTGTGCCAGCCATTAATATTGTTTCGTCGGCGTTTAGCTTAGCTGATTGTACCTTGGAAAAGAAACTCTCGACTCTAGGTCTTGTTTCAGCGGGCTCTAATGGCATTGCACCATTGACCGGTTTTTGCGGACAAGAAGGTGATAATTTGTGCACTATGTTTCATTCAGTTTGTTGTCTATTCCATGCGCAATCCTGTTGTTTATCGGACGGCGAAAAAAGTAGTGTTTTTCTAACTATTTAAGTTGTTATATAAGCCTTAACCAGGCACTCTTTCGCTGCAGCTCACTCAACTTAAAAATTTTAGACTGAAATGACACCGGTTTAAAACTTCGCGAGGTCAGTTTACTGAATAAATGTTCTAAAATTTGCGTCATTTTCAATTTGGACTCGTTGGAATGCCCGGCGTCATATAAAGGCTTTTAATCGGCCTTTGAATGAGTTTTGTTGTTTTAAATTGCCAAGTAGTACATTGAGTGGATATAACCCGGTTTTCAAAAATCCAGGTATAAATATGAATTAAAGAATTATCACAGCAAAGTCATGGATGGATTCGGAAAAAAAATTCCTTTTTTTCGTTCAATAGACTCTCACTCAACTGTTTAAATCTTCACAGCTCTGCAACACTCGCGTGGCAAAACGGTTCCTCTGAGCGTTTCTGAAAGCTATATTGGGGTACATAATAGTGGCAACACCGCATGTCGTTTTTCGTATCGCAGACACAACCTGGTCTTGGTCGTTGTTATCTAAAGACTTCCTTGTTTGCGTCGGGTATAATCGAACTTTCTTTGTGGGCGCTGCTTTGTTTGTGAATCACTAGGTACGGTGCTTCGTGTTCAGTTGTGTTAAGCAAAATCAACGTGAAGTCAGTGCTTTTCTTCGCTTTTGGCGTCTTCGCAGTCTTTCTAACAGGTTAGTTTTAATTGAAGTTTTCAAGGTTTTAAATAAGAACTCAGTAATTCTCTAGAACACGTTCTAAAACCAAATGCGATATTCTAAAATGGCCAATTTCTGGTAAAAAATAGCCATTTCCAGCAGTGTTTTTTCCACATTTGATGTAGTAGGCTTAAAAAGAGGTATTATCTAGAATGAAAATTCAAAATGTTACCATGCACAGGACTGGTTTGGTAATATATTCCTTTTTTAATGCAGATCGTGCCGGTTTCCAGTCGTTTTAGGCAAAATGTTTTGCAATTTAGCAATGATCAAGGAAAAATTCCGAAAATTTTCAAACGCTCTCAAAATAACCACGAAAATTTCCAGCAACGTTTTAGTAATAGTAAAAAATGCAAGATTGAAAGAGGTTTTGTCAGATTACCAAAAATGAACTCAAGGTTTCCAAATACTCACGTGTACGATTGCAACTCAAAATGACGGTGGAAAATTCCACCGTCAATTTCAGGCGATGGCTGAAAATGCGAGGATGGAAATTTCCATTGTCCTTTGCTTATCATACAAAGAGCAAGACCAAGCAGTACGCGACCATATTTCAATGCCGATGGAAAATTTTGCCGTCAGTGTTACACAAACGCTGAAAACGTAAATACACTCTCCAAAATCATTTTTCAAACAGGCTGTAAACAATAGAGGATAAAGCTTTATCCCGTCTTGGCTGTAAATGACTACCATGATGCATAATTATCATCTCTAACAAGCCAGGTCAGAAATAAAACGTGTTTTTTAATCATAATTTCATTGGTGGCGTACATTTCAGTTATCGCCAATGTCGGTGATTGATTTCGCGAGAAAATAGGGAAAGCAGTCTTGAGCCGGTTGTTTCCGTGTACAATGTAGTGTTTTCTGGAAGATCAAACATGAGTGGATGGAAGTGGCATTACGCCGACAAAGCCTGTTCCTGCTTCTCGAAGAGGGAGAAAGCCGAGCCGAGCGCTTCAGATAATTGTAGAATTTGCAGCTGTTGTTTCAAAACACAGTTCGGGAATTTAAGAGTGGATGGATAAGCTCTGAAAATATGTTTGTTGCCCCTACTAGTACTAGAAAAAGGTGAAACGTTACCAAAATTGGCCGACCTTCTGATAAACGAACTTTTCGTTGTCCAGTCGAAGGAGAATCTTTCTCCACAAAGGTGGAAACTGCGCTGCGATTCTTTCGCAACTGAACACGCCAACGGACAATGAATTCATCACGGTAGGGAACATCACAAATGACTTGTTGCAAACATAACTTGACAGTTAGCTAAGAGCTTGCATCAAAATTTAGCCAATGGGAATTGCCCGTGGCTGGGAGAAGCGGGCAATTCGAACGAATATATCTTATTCAAAACGGACAGTCCGTATTTTTAGTGTATCTCCCCAGTCTCACTCTCCGTTTTCAGCTTTTGTTTAACTGTTCGTGCGTACAGTGTACTTGAATACGCAAAATACGGACTGTTTTACAGTCTCCGCGGATTTTAACAGGCCGTTTTCACACAGTTTGCTTTAGAGTCTCAGGTCGCTTTTCCCTCTAGACTTAAAGCATATTAAAATCTGACTCGAATCTGACCAATAATGTGTTAAAATGGAAGAAGATCAGCTGTTTCACATATACCGATTCCGTGTCTGTTAACTTATCATGACTTATCAACCTACAGATAAGAAATTCAGTATACCTTCTCTTCTCGGTTTAAGCCTCCACCGTGTCTACATTTCTGTTCGTGTTAAAACGGTTTCAAAACAGGTGGAGAGGAAATGCAACTCAAACAATAAAATATTCGCTAAATAAGAGTCAGTACTTATCAAAACTTAAAAATAGCGGTAGAAAAATGAAACAAACATGTAAAAACCGGAACTTTAAGTCTGTACTTAAAATACACTTTCTGACAGCGGGTTTCACTTACGTGAGGAAGCAGACATAAAAACGGAAACCTTTCTAGACTGATCTGGAAAATGAAAGAAGATAAATAGACAAAAAGCCTTGCCAAGAATCTATCAGGTCTATGCAATAGTTCATATGCGAGATATTCGGAAAAACGTTTTACCCAAATTTATAAAGCTTTGTATGGAGACGCCATGTTTGTGTCCCTTTCAGGGGCACAAATATGGCCGCCGGAAACCAACAGAAACATCTGTTTTTGAGTTTTCCTACTTATGCGTGAATTCTTCGCTTGAGGAACTCATAAAGATTAAAGTAATATTTATTCTAAGACAAGGAATGTTTAGATAGCAAAATCTCCAAAAATCCGTAATGTTTTTAACCCATATAAGAGCTTTCCCGGCCGCCAGCTAAATGACGCGTCACGCAAAAGCCTGGAAATTCAAGCATCCTGTATCGCAAAACAAAGAACCCTTTTGAACCGAAAATTTGTTTGTATGAAGCTTTTAAGGTGCTCTAATATCACATGAAAGTAGAAACTCAGAAGAAGGGATAGTTCAAGTTTGAATTTTGGTGACGTCATGTGAAAACCGAGAATACGTTGCTTTTGATCGTTACGTCCAAAAACAGGTGACCAGGTGGGGCTGGCAGCGAGGCCTGGAACCGAGTTTATATGATCGGCCAAGTTAAGAAATCTTTTTTAAACCATAATTTTGTTCCAAGGGGTAGTGTAGTTTTTGGAATTTACATTATGTAATTTTTCCCTTTCTGTTGGCAACAAAACACACTTGAATGAGGACTCAAACTGAAGGCAGTGTAATAACTGCCGTCATGAAAAGAGAATTCCAAACACACAAAATAATTTCCCTTTCATTTCAAATCACAGGAAGATAAGAACTTAAGCATATCAACATGTACAAAATCAAGAGAGAATGATCTCTTGGCAAAATTTATTTAGCTTTTAGTACATAAAGAAATACATGAACTACGAGATTTGACCAGGCCACTCAATCATCCAACGCAACGCTGCCAGGATAAGTTCACAATCAAGAATGAAGAATTAAGACTCTCAATCAATCATTTCTTGTCGTCTTAAAGGTGTAGCAAAACCGTAAACAATTCTTTCGACCACAGCCACCGCCCTTTTTTTAACATCCCTGTGAATTAATTTTGGGCCTTTCACTTGAAAATATAAACTCTTCTACATACGTATTGGAGGGTTGGCCCTTTTTTTAGTCGTGTGGGTCTTCTAAACAGAAACACGGCTTGAGAGCCTGCATCTAGAGAAATGAAGTGAGTCAAAAGGTCCGGCATCGAGGAACAATGTCTGTTTTCGATCAATGTTCACTGGTCTCGTTCTTAGCGTAGCAAACCGCATGTAATGACAAACACAAGACCAGAAGAAAGGAAAGCGTAAGCTCTATATTACCGCGGACAAAAATTGGTTACAGCAAAGAAGGCAATGACCAACGGGACCAAAAGCGAACTCATTTCATAGGGGGTGCGAAGACAAACTTCTTGTTGTTGTTCCCAGCCCGTTTCGCGCATGCTCACTACAAATCTCGAATGATTGTCAGATTTCCTAGCTGGGGCGATCATGGAAAGCCACATGTTAATAGGAGCTTCGCTTTAGCACTGGCTAAATCTATATATTTAGAAAGCGTCAAGAGACAAGTCAGGCTTCAACCAAACTGCTCGATTTTCAACACGGTGAGAAACTATCTAGATTTAAGAATCTTTCGATACAGTAACTGTGTATGTATAGGTCTCTTGGCTCATTTTTCATCGCTTAAACTTGCCCTAGGTTGAAAAGGGTAGTGCATGTTAAGGCGAAACGTGGACATGAGTAGCTTATAGGATCAAGATATATAGTTTTTATTTTATTTTATTTGTTTAAGAATGTTCGAAGAGCAAACGCATATCATAATATTTTCGTGTTGAAGAGAATACAACTTCTGACGAGAAAATCTTCCGTTAAATATTTGTTTACTGTACCGTCTCCTTCTTATGTTTTAAATGAATATTACTACAGACACACAAAAACACTCAAGTACGTAGCGCCACGCTCCTCTTTAAAGCCTATTTAAGACCGAATGAGCCGCCATGTACAAAGCAGTGTTAAAATACGTAAGACTTTGATGTTGCGAGGTGCTTTGTTATGAAACGTGTTAAACTAGCATATCTTAACTATAAGCGCAACCGCTATAGCTGTTTCTCTTTTACTTTTACTACTCTTGAAAGATCTTAAATAAGGGGAAAAGGAAAGATTTCACGATACAATTTCGGGTTTTATAACTCCATCAATACCCTATTGAGTATAGAATTATTCACATTCTTCAAACATTTATCTGCCCTCAGAGTTTTTAATTTTCAGGAAACGAGCTCTGATGTTTCATCAGATTCAGCTATAATTCACACACAATGCAAAAAAAGTCCAACTCGTTTGTTTACAAGTTTAAACGAAGGACTCAGGTCAACAAAAAAATTGGTAATAAGTACTCTGAAAAACTTACTACAACATACCACGTTTAAAAGTTCATTAGCGTTTACCAAGACCAGTATTATCTTAAACATTCATGACTTTAAACTAACAAAGATAAACATATTATAGAAGTGGGTGTGTGACATAGGTAAAATATGAATTTCAATAACAGTACTGCGGGTGTATTTATAGTAATGAGGAACACATATTTATGTCAAGCATGATAGTTTGATAGGCACATGAGTGATGTCGCCGCTGCTCAGCACAATAGTCTTTTAGGAATGTGTTTGGTATACTAAATTTTCACAAAGTGTGGGCTTTACTCAACTAACGTTGCTTTTTTTCATTTTTACATTGTTGCCCGACAACTGGTGAGCAGCGGCATAGCAAGACCAACACTTCATTTAGGTTGTTGTAATTCTTTAACAAGGCTTGCACACGCTTAAATGGAAATATCCACGATACAGTTAGCTATTTTCTTAGATTGTATTTTTAACTTTTAAAACTCTCTAACGCTAACTTGCTCAAACGGCACTAAATTTTCAATTTAAAACCAAATGAACAGTACTTCTACTAAACACGAATAGTTTTGTGTTTTAATTGCACACATATTTTGCGGGACCAGGTAGTTCCTACGCAATCGCCTGGTCATGCCAGTTAGGAAACGAAATAGAGCAGGGGTGATAACATGAATTTCAGCCGTCTACTCGAGTCGCACACTCACGAGTGTGCGACTCGAAGAGAAGGCTTAAATTCAGGCTGTTTGACGGGCGCCTTATTACACACACACGTAGCAAATATTCCCTGGTCACAAATATTATTGAGTTACACCTTTTTCTGTATTTGGTGCCCTTAAACTAACAGAACAGATCAAGACTGAATGAAACGGTAATTCTAATTCATGCACAGGCGTACTTTTTTCTCAACCTGTCGAGTAACTACTTGTTCTCAGTTAATGATGCTGCAACAAACAGTCCGTGTTTCAGTAAGAGTTAGCCTTTTCACCTTTTCTTTTTACTTCGTTATGAAGAGTGGTAGGCAAACCGACACTAAGGTGAAAAGTTAATTAACTATATTAATACCACAGAAGCGTAATAACTAGCGAGAAAAAAAGTTACACTTGGCGAATAAACTCCGAGCTAGCCAATCAGCGCGCTCAAAAAGCACAATTCAAATTGACTTGTTTGGTATTTATTACAACTCACTTTTGCTATTGACGCTCGGCACCAAAACCTGTCAGAAAATTGTAGGAGTATTCACATCCACTTCGGCGATCAGTAATTGTAGAGACTTTCTACCAGTAAGTGACATAGCGGCTCGTACATTGTTATACATGCAATGAAGACAGTTGAACCTCTCCTTTGGGACACCTCCATTCAGGGGGCACAAAATTTGGTCCCGGAAAAAATGTTGACATAATCTTTGTGTTTGTTACTTCTATTGAAGGAACACTTTTTCTGGGTCCCGAAACCCGGATTCAACCTCCATTCAGGGGACACCTTAGCAATCAAAGAGAGCATGACTGACCGCAATTATAGTCGATAAGTTTAAGTGTTCACTAGTCACAATAGCGACAGCTCTCAAAACATGAATTAACTCACTTAAATCCATGTACTGCACTTATGGGGAATTCAACACACAACATCGCAAAGTATAAGTTAATCACGATTTTTTTTACACATTATCCAGCTGCTTGAAACAACGACTGCATTAGATTCCATAGCCTGCAAGAGCAGACGCCTTTTTGGACTCTAATAAAAGTCAGTACTTTATATGTTGGTTTATTATTAACCAACCCCAGCCCATCCTCCATTCAGGGGACACACTCCTTGGTCCGGAGGGTGTCCCCTGAACAGAGATTCCATAAGACTGTCCAGTGCTAACGCAATAGCTCTGGAGTCAGTCTAAACTGTGTGCAGAAAACTGACTACTTTATAAAAAGCCAGCTACACTATGAAAGGCCTCAGGCGAGAGTTGTTTCGTTGTTTCAGCTGTATACTAATACTTGGCAGCAAGCAAACAAACTTCAGTCATAAAAAAACTCTTCATGGAGAACACTTATGTCACTCGATGATGCACGAAATTACTTTCGCGGCGAGGTTCCACTGGCGTCGATTTGTAAGTTTAAAAAACGAGATTGGCTTTTTTTTCCAACAAATACCTGACACTGAGTGCACGTTGGGGGCTCAATTAAAGTTATGACTATCAGTAGAAAGTGACGCCAAAAACTTTTCAATTTCAAAAAAGCTATTTGTACCTCTCCTGAATTAACGTCCCTGATAGTGCGAGATGTCTATTTGGGTTTCCGGGCCAAGGAGCTGCTAAGTACTGCCTTTGCATTTGACTTAGCTGAATTGTTACTTAGCATCCAGTGTACAAATATATGTTCAAGTAGTTTTAGCAAGGATAACTTTGTCATACAACAAAACGCATTTTAAAGGAATTGGGTTTCTCATTGCCAATGCTTTGTAAGTACACTATTCTCTTCCATATTCCCAGAGGGTTTTATGGTTATGCAAACGCACCGAAACAAAAATAACGGCGCTGAAAAGCACTCTTTCTATTAAAATACTTTTACTTTAAAAAGACGCTATGATTTACTCGTTTTAACACCATGTCGCTAAAAAGGTCTTCATACATTAAAAATTCCGCAATTGCATGAATATAGATAAAAGTAGATTTCAACTTTACCTTTTATTTAGCTGTGGTCGTTTTTGTTATTTTTCCTTTGAGGCTATCCGCCGATTATTATAAAAAAGCTAAGAGAAAGCAAACCATACTTCAAGCTACCTTTTGTGTGCTTTCAGAATTTTCAATGGTTAATCGATTCAAAACCATTGCCTTGTAATACGTATGAACTGCAAATGGCTTGAGCGTAATTGGGAGATTTACAGGCATTAGCAAATTACCTTAATTGTAGCTTCTCTAATTAGGAATGAAGACCAACGGTGAGTCTAGTTTGTACATTCACAGCCATCAGAGCGAATAGTAGGTCAATCTACTTTTTATGGCGGCATACTGGCTTTGGTACCTAGATCTTAACATCTCAAGCTATTTTAAGCCATGGTACACTGATATTGCTTGAGATCGTCAGGACCATACAGGACAATCATACAGAGAACGGTAAGAAAAACATTGATCTCTCCACGATTTAGAAAACAACTTTTTTGCAGATAAAAACTATGCGTAATGCATCCTAACAGTTGACAACGAAAACGTAATCTCCAAAGTCGTTAGGACTTCTTTTGTACCTTTTATGAGTGTTGAATGTGATTTTTTTTTATCTTTTTCCAGACGATTTCTTATTTTAGTGCTTACATTTCCTTATGAATTAACAGTGGTGAGACCAGGTCATTATGTTCATTTTTTTTTTTCGCTTCTTCAAATACCTACATTGTACCGAAGCGCCTTAAGTCAAATGTAAGTGCTTCATACCGTCCTGAGGTGAAAGGTTTTGCACAATACAGAAAACTGGAAATAGTTCTATCCTTTCTCAGTATCGGGTCTCAATATTCTGAGGACACAAGCCATCACAAGAGATACCTATACGTCCAGGTGAATTCACGTTTATCTACACAACAAAACAAACCCTTTAACCATAAAGACCAGTAAACGGACCGAATTTCCGGACCTTTTTCCTGGTAACAATTAGTATGATTTCATTTTAATCTGATCCAAAATTTTCAAATTGAGAAGATAAAACGCACTTATTCAGGCTATACTAAAAGTTTTAAAAAGTCTTGACTTGATAAATCCTTTTGTCATCAGAATTCTTCTTACACCGTTGTTGTCATGATTTTTAAGCTATCATATTGCCTTTTCTGAGGACGGTGAAGGATTTATAAACTGGCAGGACAACGATGACTCTTTTACATTTAAGGCCAGAGATTTGACCAGTTAACACTATTAAATAAACAAGGATGGAGGTCAATGTCAAAAGAGTATCGCGGACTAAAGTATAGTCTACTTTGCGTTGAAGGCATTTATATCGGGCTACAGTAGAAACGAGCATAAAATCCAAATAATCTCTCGCATGTGCCATTGTGTATCACTATACCTGTCTGCTTTTAATTTAGGGCTTTGCACTCATTATCGACTCCTGTCGACTCAACGTTAAGTATCAGAAGTATAAAAGGTAGAGGTTTTGCGTCTGACCAACGGCGTGTCTTTACATTTACATTAGTGCGTATTATTAATTAAAATGGCTTTCAGGTGCCGCGGCATTCAAAATCATTGCAAATCGAAAAGATAGCTGCTTCGCATTACCGAAGAGACGTACAGGCGCATTTGTTCAAATCTAACTGAGGCCGTTTCATTGATGAGAAACATAATAATTTTTTTCGGAGTAGACAAGTAGGCATCATTAAATCGCATGAAAACAAAATCACTAAATAAAATTCTTTATGGAAGGAATTGTGTGAAAAGTTTCAACTCTTAAGCGCCTTCAAAATCACTTACTATTGAATCGCAACTGAAAAAAGTAAAAATCAATGATTAATTCAAGTGGTTAAAATGTTAATGGTTGATGATCCCATTATCCGTTAGACGAATACTTTGTATTGGTATAAATTCGAAAGACGAATTCAGATGGATCTTTAGCTTTGAGAAAGAATCTGGTCAGAAAAAAAAGGTACAAAATGGCGCGTTCATAGTCCTGGTAAGGAACTGATAGATGGAAATGCAGAGAAATCAGTGAGTAAAGCAGCGGAATAGTATGTTAACCATGTGTATCATTGAACCGGCAAGACAATGGAACATTGGATTCCATATTCTCAACTTGTCTATATTTTCTTACTCGAGAAGCAAAAAATTGGCCAAGACGAACAAAGAACGGTAGGAGAAGAGTTAACCAGTTGTTAAGCGAAAGAGTTTCGAAAAAAGTCGCTTAAGAGTATTTTCTACGGTTCAAACAGGGTTGCATAACACTAGTCGAAACCTAGCAGAGCTACTGTTAGAGCTGGTCACTTCGGAGAGCTACTAGTCGTAAAGAGAGCTTCGACTGTATATTCTTTCTTCACAAAAAAAATCGATGAGGCGATATTTCGATGTTTTACTCCGCTAATAGAAAGCAGCGTGGCCGAGTGGAGAGCACATCGGACTCCCCAGTAGTTTGGCGGTCCTAGGTTAGATAGTCCCGCTCGAACAGTGCGTCTGCATGGCTAGATTTGTTTCTCGGTCGACCTGAGTCCATTCAATTTATCATTATGAGGTTTCCCATAGCATCATTTAAAAATAGTTATTTTAAGCAATAGTAACACATTATAGAGGGTCCTCAATAGGTTTTACTGAATTCGGGATTTCCCTTATTTGAAGCTCGGGATTCAGGATTTGAAAGCAAAATCGAGGCGAGATTCGGAATTGAAAGTATGCACGGGAGGTGGGACGCCAAAAATAACCCTCGGGATTACGGAATTACACGAAATTTTAAGTCGGAATCACGGGATCGAAGGACCCTATTGGGGACCCTCGTTATATGCCAGACGTAGTTAATCGATAAACCGATAATCAATAGTAATCGATTTCCGATACTGATCGGTAGAAATCGATAAAGAAAAAAAGTTGTGACTTTGATTAATATCGATGATTTTCCGATAGAAATCAATGATGATTTTTTATTGATTGTTATCGATTTAGTTAGTCGATACTAATCGATAAATTACGGTATTTTTTCTGTGACTTTGATTTCTATCGATTTCCGATATCAATCGATATTTATATTAGGCGGATTAAATCGATGAACATCGACGATATCGATTGACTTCCGTAATCGATATTGATCGATTAAGTACGTCTGGTATATGGCAAGGATAAGTACGTTCTATTGATTCCTTTTTAACGCAACAAGCTACTGCTATGGCCCCCGTATACTGTATATGGAGAAACCTTGGCCTGGGGAGAAGGATCACCCTCCCCTTCTAGCCGAGTCAACTTTAGTTATATCAACTCGGTTGATAAAGTGAATCGTAAAAACAGTCAATATTGTGTGTGGTTTGGGCAGTTGATAAAAAAAAAATTGTGTTTCACTCCACGAACGACGGACGAGCTTTAGTGAGTTAGTTTTAACTGAACTAACCCCTTTATTCTAATATTATAAAAGCACACGCCATCATTGTGTTACTGAGCTCGCCAATAGCGAGGTTATGGCTGCCTGTGAACACTGATACTATGCCCTGAGTGCGCAAGGGTGAGGACGGTGTATTTTATCATTTTCACGCAGTTCTCGCGTCTAATCAGAACATCCCAAGCAGTATAAAGAAAAAGGTAACTTAGGTATTGCTTTTTCGCCTTTTGAGTAGAAAAAAGCCAAAGAATCGTGGACAGAATTTAACAGTTTCGTTCTTAAGTGAGTGTCTGACTAAACTGAACATCTGGTGAAGAACTTTTATTTTTTACAAGTGGAATTAATAGGTACGTGACTTTCAACAGGATCCACCCAAAACAATTAAGACACCAACAAATTTCCGACGATCAAATGCGAAGATCCTTTCCGGAAACCCACGAAGCTTTCAATGCCTAAACTAAAGCATTTATCGCTTTTAAGTTCTTTCCTGGTGATCGATTATCTTAATTCTCTGAAAACGTGCTCGCATGTGTGAAACTAGGGACTATAAAAGGTTTACTGGTCTGCCTTTTGCTAAACTCAAAAGTTTGTTTTGGGAGCAAACCTTAAAGAACTTTAAAATGACAACTATCTTGTTGAAAAGATGAAAAAAAGGTTTAAGCACATCCGCCATTTAATTGGTCCTGAATTTGTTATAGTAAATCAGTACAATCGGTTTCGTGACCTTTCATGTTTATTACAATTATTATAACTATATTTTTTAACTATTATGATTCTTTCGTATCATAGGGTTCTTCAGGTTAAAATAACATGAGGAAAAGCACTAAGCAATCAGGCGTAATAATTTTTACCGCGTTGGTGCACCAGTCTAACCTAACCTTAGATACAATTTTTCGATAAAGATAAAATTTTGTCATCTTAGACTCAAAAAGTCCTGGAAGGTATATTCTTTCAGCTGACCTTTACCTTAAAGTGTTATCTGACCGCAGGATCCTGTCTTGATGAATATTAGAAGATAGATAACACTGCAATCATAAGAATTAACGCGAAAGATTGTGAAAAAGCTCGTGAGCATCATGATAACCAATAGTAGTTTCACAAATCTAAACTATAAGCCAAAGATCACCTCAGCTTTAACTCATAGAATTTTAGGTCAGTTTATAGCTGACATGTACATGATCCAACACAGGAGTTGATTTGTCACGATTCAGCCAAACCAACAAAGACTTTAAGCGTGCTGAGAAGGAATATGAGTCCCGTAGACACCCCACTGGACCTGTGGGTCGTCATATATCCACCGTATCGTGGAAAATAAGGGGAAAAAAATCACTTAAATAATTATATGAAAGGAATGTTCACCAGTGCCCGACGAGAACAGTTACAGCTTCTACAGTTACAGTTCCTTTTTTTGCTTTTTCCGCCTTTTTCTATTTTTAATATACTTTCAAAGCGTCTGCACACGATAGATAACGTGATCTTTGAGCCAAACTATCTCCAGTGAAAAACAATAAGCTATTCCACGGGCGGATCGAACGCGTCGAAATAAGTATCTGTCCCAACACATACATCGCCGAGGGACGAGTTTAATTCGTACAAGAAATAAAAACACGCAATATAGATCAAAATCAAACAGAGAACACCTGCATGCTAGCGTGACTTGTGCGTGACGTCAGATCAGAACGGGCGGCGGAAATGACCCACGACCGACTGTTGTGACGCACCTAAGTCGTGATCAAAAGATCAGAGCTTCGAGGACCTTCGGAAGGTTCGATCATCACCAGTCATGGAAGAAAACACAAATGCGCCATACACTGAAATGAAAGCTAGGAGGTTTGAAACAGTTTCATAACCGGGTTAAGAGGACAAATTTGGAATAATATGAGGCATATAGATACAACGCGAAAAGAGTTAGGTAAGTTTGGCTTGTTTTTCAACTTTTGTGTATAATGTTTTAATGAGATTGGCAAAGGTTAACACCGGAGAAGCAGGACGCTCAATCAAAACTATCACGCTATTTAACTTGCGTTTACTGCGTACTAATAGTGTAGTGAATAATTTCATGGTGATCCAAGTCTCGAGGGAATTGCTAAACATGGACCTGTAAGTCTGTAAGTCCAGCAGTGAAGATTACGTCCAAATATATAGGTCTTAAGGGTTATATTTAATCATCATCTGTCATTAGCCTCTCTAATCAAACAAATATCAAAAAGTCATTTTGCGTGCAGTTCAACTAAATCTTGTTTATAAAATAACGAGAAATGGAAAATCGTTACAAGTTTACAACTGAAACATGTCACCTTGCTTTTTCCCTACCTGCGGTTAAATCTTCATGTTTTAGACAATATTTAATGACCATTCGTGTAAACCACTCGCTCAAGTGCTTCTTTTTTCGTAAGCTCTTATCCGGAAACACATCGACTGGAAATCGCGCGTGAGCGAGATCAGGTAGCTAGCGAAGGTCAAGTAGTATATTCCTCCAGTTTATTCCTCTTTCATTACATTTCCTACAAAAAACCGACCAACAACGGAAGATAGTCATGTCATTTTAGTATTTACAGCTTTTGTAAACAATTGAAAATTAGACATCGTTCTATTTTTCTGATAATAAGACATTTCAAGTGTTTGTACAGGTGTCTTTTTATAGTACTTATCTCCTCTTAATCAGTGATGATCGTTCGTACGTGGCATGGTTGGCGTGACAGGACGAGCTGTAACTTGACCTGACACAATGGTCAGTCATTAATATTTCCAACTTTCGCAACAAATTCAATGACCCATACCTTTTCATATTAGTTTCACTTATAAAAAAAAATTAAAACAACAACAACAAATAATGCGGAAAAAAACAAAAGTATCCGCTGGATTTCACAATCGCTTACACTATTCCAGCGGATACACGATATATATCAACCTGCCGTGCAATGTAAGGTATCCACAACACAAGGCAACGCAACGTGCGTCCCTGATACAATATTGAGTCATAGGTAGCAATTTTAGCATACGACAACATCCTGATTTCTGTCTTTTGTGCCTTGCCGATGAGCGTTTATTGTCCCATAAGCTTAACTTAATCGCAGCTCTTTTCTAAGTTACCATGGAAACGAACAAGAACTACAAATTAGTTTCTTTGTGTTCGATCGACAGAACAAGCAACTAGGTCAAGACGATTTAAGCAGAAGCCAAACGTTGTGCCTGCTGGGAGCACTCAAGACATAACCCAAAAATACACGAAAAACAACGTTACGTGCAATAATTCTCACGTATTCCCACTGAAGATTGAATACTTAAAAGGAAACAGTCAACGTCAAATAATTGAGTTATTTGTGTCGCTAAACTTTTAAAGAGAAAGTTCAACAAGCTTTCGCTCCCGGCTGTTAAACACTGTTTACCGTTCACACCTATTCATATTCACTAGAATATTTACACAATTACTTAATAATTTTAACAAATACCATGAAAATCCACTGAGAAGGGCCGGGCCGTCAAGTAATCTTTTTATACGCAAAGGGTCAACAAGGGAAATAAAAAGAGTATTTTGAAAAGAGTAGATAAAAAGCTAATGGTCGATTCATTGATTTACGAAAAGCTCAGCAACTCATATTTATGGCCAGTGTCAAGTTCTGCAAATAATGACTGGCGAGAGGCTGTCGCGATGAAATAATTAGAGGAGCCGATTATTGGATTTTTTGATAATTACGCTATACATCATGCCGAATAGTTCAGCGTGGTTCTGAAAACCGATGTTCAGTCAATATTTGTTATAAAATAACTACTAATACCAGACAGTAAAGAAACAGTGAGAAGCTACGTAACCAAAGTTTTCTTTAAAGGCAGAACTCAAATATATATGATCTTAAGTTGTTGTTACGTGTTAATATTATGGTAAAGTTATGCCGTTTTCATAAATCATTTGCCGACAAAATACCGAAAGGTTTATAGTGCAACAACCTAATGCACTTCGAGTTCCGTTTTTATCCTTTGGGCAAACATCTAGTCATGTTTAAACAAATAATAATGTTCGCGCCAGTCCAGTTAAACAACGAAGTTATTTTTTATGCTGAATTAAAGAGTGTATAATCCGAAAACTTGTTGACCTTGATTCGGATGAATTGACATCTCCCAATTTTCTTAAAATTATCATGAGAAAATGAACGAGGCCTTTTGCGTTGACAGGCAAATTTAGAGAAAGTATGTCTTTTAAAAATGTGATTTGGCTTGAGCAATCCAAAGTTAGCTACAGGTCCTACAGTACAACCCTCAATATAACGACGGAAGGGCTAAGGGACTGGCAACTTTGTTCGCTATAACCAGGTTTCTTTTAACGAGATTCTTTTTCATATATTTTACCATATTACTGGGGCAAAGAAAATCGTTCGTTATACCGAGGACTTCGTTATATAGAGGTTCCACTGCAATTGTTGTTAAAATAATAACAAACAGGCGTGAGGTGACAGTCTGAACGACTCTGACAAAGCGGGCGCATGACTAACTTGCATTTTCAGATTGCTCACTAAATTTGTAATGACCCAATCAGCTGCTTGCAAGCAGCGAAATTTCACGGCGCAGGCGGGGAACAAATGAATAATGATCCCTCAGGGTACGCGGAGACTTGGTCAATTTAACGTCCGCTTGCTAAGGAACAACGACATGTAAGTTACTCAGTCAATTAAGTATGAATCGAAAGTGAGACAGGTTATTCAGTCTAAGAGGTGACTTTGTGAAATTGAAAGAAGTGGAAAGACGTTATGAAAAGGATAGGTATGTTATGTTAATCCATGCTTTGTCGCTATAACACGTATTAAGTTCCGTGTATTGTGACTTTTATGTTTAGAATAACACGCAACTATAATTAGGACTCAATGAATGTGCTTTTTAAAGCACGTTATTTTATATAACTCTCAAGTTACGCCCAGGCGGTTATTTACAACTCGTCATTCGAAGACCTTGGTAGTGAAACTGAATTATAGGAGGTAAAGCCATACAGGCAGGCGAAAACCCGGCGACCGTAGCAATGGAAAGCTGTAAACAGACCGATTTATTCCGCTTTCTCAGTTTCAAGAAAACTGCTTTATCAGAAGACCGCAGCGGGGATTGATGTTCTGATTACGGTAGATATCACAGTCATAATATCAAGTGAACAAGTCGGTCAAGAGAGTTCAAAAGTGTCATAGCTGGTCAAATCCTTGAATCGGATTAGCGGCGGGAAAATTCATTATAGCCATATTCAACAATATTCAAAGCTAATTGCATGTTCATTGTTCGTTTGCATTTTTCTTAGTGGATTCAGTATAGTGTAAGTTCTTTTGAAATAAATCCCTCCGTCAGTCAGACGCCTTCCAAATTAAACGATTTGTTAGCTTCAGCAAGAGCAGCATTTGCATAGAATGACAACAGCTAAATTAATAATGAACATGATTATGGATAATTTGAAGTGGTACTGAATAGATCCTTGTCGTGTCGTGACCGAGATACGGTTTATCGATTTCTTTGTTGGGAGTTTGGGCATCAAAAAATAGCGCAAACAAAGTACGTAGACACGGTGTCGAGCCAATTGAACGGTAACTACAAAACACTGCTCCATATATAAGTCATTTGCTGTAAACTTAGTGGTGTCAGACGAAAAGCCGTATTGGCCACCGACTTTTGAACTAAAGAGACGAAACACAGCTGGCGCCCGGACCAAGCCCAACGGCATAACTCAAGCGTATGTACCTGTATCAATGTTTTCCGCGAACAAACACAATTAGTTGCTAACTTTAGCTCATGTATATGGCACAATCTCAAATCCAATCACGCTTTTTTTCTCACACACTGATGCTTTGTCGTTATATTTAGCGCTCAGTATGATTTGATCGTGCAGGCATTCACTTGTTATTCACACGGGGTCGGTTAATAACAAAGGTATTTTACGCATCCATGCTGTTACTGCATTAGAGGAGCGCTGTTAAATCAACCTGTGCATAGTTAGAACACTTACAAAAAAAAGGCAGACTTGCTATTCTTATTATATAGTTAATGAACACCAAAGGACAATGATATTTGTCACCTCATATGTGTGCTAGCCGATCAATTTCTATTCGTTTAGTTTCATACTCATAACAATGTCTCATTATATTCGCAAAATAAAGGTAATTGTACTTTGAGAACTTGGAGCTAAGAGCATATATTATCACATCAGATCTTGTGAATGGTTATTGAAAAGAATATCGCAATACTGAACTAAGTCAAATGTGAAACAATGTGAAGTTATTTAGAAACGTGGCCGACATTCATACGAGAAAATAGGCGCGAATAACATAACTTATTTCGTCGTTCGTGCATCGTTAATGAAGTTGAATAAACACGCTATAAGATGATTTGCTAATGATAAAAGGATACAATTCGACATTCCTATTTACAATTTGGCTCTGGTATTAATTGGTCAAGATACTTGGAAGGTAATAATGATCGGAAGTTTGAATAATTGCAGATTTGGTGGTTACTCTATTTCTACCATTACATAACTTTCTCTTTATTTCCAGTCTCCGGCACAAAAAGGGACCTGAAAATTCTGAGGTGATTACTAGCAATATATGGTTTGGTCAGGGTATAATAAGTAAGTTTGGCGAAACACATTAAAGGACGGTCTACGCGGAGAAAATGCATCTTTTTAATTTTACTTTTGCACAAAAAGATCCCTTTATTGAAAAATTAATGTTATGATGTATTCTAACTCAGCTTTCGGCGAACTGATAACGTATTTGTTGACGTTTGTAAGTCCCTTGTTGGATTTACCTGCCTTGTAGATGTCCGAATGTTACACTGAGTGTTGAGGGGGGAAGCTCTATCTTGCTGTCACAAAGGGAGAAATGATCAGTGTTTTTTTTATAAGATAAACTTCGCTGACAAGGATTCATTTTGGGGAAGCATATGGAAAAAATTATTGACGTATAGCGATATTTAATGAAGAGTATTTGTAAACACGAATTATTAATCGAAAATCTCGTTCATTATTGAGTGGATGAATAATTGCATACTGAGCTTCTGAGTTCCAACTTTATTACGATCAGTTCATTTTAGTTATCAGATCAAAACGGAAAACTGCCTTCTCTAGAACTGTTACGGCCTTGAGTCACAAAGGAAAGATACACGAAACACAACGCATGCATTTATGACTTCGCTAGAACTATTGTAGATTAGCATATGACATGAATTCAACGCTTGTGACCCTGCCTACTTAGGCAAAATTAAGAAAGGAATCATATATATTAAGGGGGGGCTTCATTGAAATCATTACTTACACATTTATATAAGATTCCTGCTTACTCACTTCACGGCTTAGTACAAACGATTAAACTTGTGCCGTGAATATTGAAGCAAAATGTTTGTCCAATCATTAGCACAAAAAAGGAAATTGGTATATTGTAATAAATGTCTTAAAATGCTATTAACGTTGATTTGTAGCAATTATCTGTCGTTATTATTGGCTTAAAAAAATCCTGCCGGCGAATAAATATTGCGATAGTTCGGATTAATTGCGGTAGCCTAACAAACGAGTGTTTACCAAGGTAGGAGACCGTTCATCGCTATCTCTGAGACTATACGGAACAGTTTACCTTTCACAATGTAACGCGGGACTTTGTGTTTATATCACCGCCCGACTTACCTCTAATCCAGTGAGTCGGTTCAATCAAATGTTTGATATTGTTCAAGAAACTTTTTAAAATTTATTTAAACTTTGATCATTTTTATACGTTTGGTATTGTAGCATGTTTCCTACGAAGGAAATGCGTGATTTGCGCCATTTTAAAATAATAATTCAGAGAAAATTGCCGTTGCATTGACCTTGGACGCTTAACAGTAGTTTTAAATCGAGGCTGTTGTTAAGATTCAGTGATTAGTTTGTACGCTCAACGGTGCATTCTTTCAAGCTAGTGGAGACGACCAAACCAAAGCCCCTCCGTCCTCCCTACTTCGCTACCCAAAGGGTCTCCTTCTCCCCTGGAAGCAAGCTGGTCTTGATCTCCGACTGACTGTGCCTGCACTTAAGATTTTAAAAAAATATATCCATAACGTAAAAAATTGAAAGAATGAAATTGTCCACGTGCATTTCAAGACATGCCTGGGGCAGCAGCCCTTTCTATTAGCAGGGGACAATTAGCTAAAAACACTTGAACGACAGAGCGGAAAAACAACAATATCTTATATAGTCATTTCGAAAGTTCACTTAAAGGACAGCTAGTCACCTTGTTTGTCTCTTAAAGTGCTGCTTTTTTGGGTCCAGAAACATATTTCTTTGGACACTGAAACTTCCTTCGACTGGACCGAGTAAGTATTTATATATTCTTTTTTTACCAAAGTAAGTTTGACTTTAAAATGCTTTGTCAATCTCGGTGGATAGTTTATTTTGCAAAATGCGTTTGGTTAAGTGGTTTCGTGCGGGAATTGAAGTTTGAGAGGTGTATATAACAGAGAGCCCAGCCACAACTCAAGTAGAAGGTGTATATGATTTGATTTTAATCTATAAGGGACTCAGTTAAAGTATCTTGGCATATTACATGTAGTTTAACTCTCCACCACTCCGGCCATTTCTATCTCTTACGTGTAAGAAAAATGAAGACAGATTTGTTCTCAGCCATATTCTGAAACTTGCAAACTTAACTTATGTTTCTTTAAATCACTGCGATATCAAGTCGTAAAAACGAGCCTCATGACGATTTAACTCAGCTTTGTAAAGATTTTAAGTGAATATCAATGTGTCCTTTCATTGTCTCGGTCTATAAATTCACTGTCAATGACAATCGTCAAGGAAAGGCCTGCGTTTATTGAAAAAAACCGAACACACCGTTCCATCCCAGCAGAGCAAGCAAACTGTATTTCCAGAAAGAATATGACTTATCGTCAATGTGTTTTACCTACTGAATAGTTCGTGCCGAAGGAGTAATCAAGCTAATGGATTCAGGCAGGATAATAGCTTTTACTTACTTATGGATTCAATTCAGCTACCTTGGAATGCATCATTAGTGCTGTGAGGGAAACCACGTGTCACGTGTCTGATTTCAAAGACTAGGTCTAGATCATGCGAACTTCCATTTTTGGCGAATAATCTTTATCATCCGCTACGCAAGAGTGAATAAAAGTGCAATTAACACCGCGTGCTGCCACGCTAAACTGAGCATGTTCACTCTACGGAACTGAGAAACGACTACTAATATTTAGGAAAAATTTCTTAGAAGAATGGACAACACTTTGATTGACTTCACCACCTTGGTTCGTACACCTGTTTCGTCCGAAAAAGACCAATTCAAAAAAAACTTAATAGTGGAAAAAAATTCCTGACTGTAATTCGGAAAGTAAGGCTTGGTTAGGAAATGTTAATAACAAGATGTGGGCGTTGAAATCGCTGAATCATAACTCGAAATGAAGGACATTCATGTCGATCAGTTTCGCCGCGGTAAACGGGCAACTGATATGTTTTTGGAAAACTTAACGGTTAACTATTGTTTAACTTTAGTTACATGAACAGAACTTGTGTCTCAGTCATGTTTAGTCTAAATCTTTATTCAGTTAGTGGAAATTCTGCCACTGTTATAAGTAATTAAAATAACTGATGCGTAACGTTAATGTTGGTTAGAAAATAATGAAATTCTAATTCGTTGCGTTTTTCGTAAACAATAATGAATAACTGCATTTTAAATGGACAATTTACCTTGGAAGTCGATCAACACAAATCACTTTTCTAACCAACGCAAGTAACAAAAAAAGTATTAAGATTTTCTTTATGATATTTTTAATACTGATTCACGTTAAAGGGAACCTATCAGACAACAAAAATAGATGCACGTGAAGAAAAAGTATGAAGCAGGGTAATTTGCCAAAAATCCAATGCAATGCAAGGCATGAACCAAAGGACACTATTGTTTTATAAACAGAACACCACTTTGCTTTAATATGAGTAAAAGTTATGAGTAAAGTTATGTTATATGTTGCTATTATTGAAGTTATTTTCGACTAATACAACTTGTATCCATAATCTTGAACTCTTTCATTGACGGTAGAATATACTTATCAGAAAACAGGAGATTCATCTCCGAGAGCTTTATTCCGCTGACTCCTGTGCCCTTGTTTGATCTGGCCAATTAGAAAGCATTTCTATACTTTAAAAATTATCATGGTATCGCTTCTTGTAATTATCAAACCCGGCTTTTGCCACACAGCCTTTAATCACCTGCCACAACTAAATAATCATGTTTTTTATACTTTCATTTTCATTTTGCGTTTCTAACTTAACGATATGTCAATTCTATTAATGATATCCATTATGTGCACTACATTTAAGGCGTACCAAATTGCGTTCCTCGGCACTTCCTTTATCAAAATAAAACTCCCACGTGGACTATTATGTCTTGTCCAATGAGGTCACTACAGAAACCTTATGAGAGTGATGTGACTCACGATCAGGGTGGTATGCTGTAAATATCTAAATATCTTTTCCCTTAATAGAGCTTGATAACAAAAAAGGCATTAGGCAAAAGATAGTCATTCTATGTCAACATCATTTTGCATCGTGCGCGGATATTGCCATGTAAAATTAATCGTGTTGATTTTTAGTTACATGCTTCCTCAAGATATTATTTTTTCATCAACGGGAAAAAAAGAGGTGAAATTATATTCATCTGTAACATTTTGTTCGCAACGAAACTGATTCATGTTAGAGTCATTAAAATATACCGTTGATATTGTACAATAAAAAATGCAAATTAGACAGTCTTTGATGAATAAATAAATATCACGGCAATTGCGTCTCACGTCAAAAGCTGACATCAGTTCAGTGGTTAAAGTTTCTGCTACTTTGAAAAAATATGGTGCTTGAAATTTTTGCCAGCTTATGGCGAACCAACGACTAAACAAAGCCGCAAAGCGCAAGATTACCTGATACAAATTGAAATTAAATAATCAGCCGTTGGCCAGGGGACAGTGCAACAGACTGTGATGAAAAACAAAGAGAGGTGGAGGAAAATAAGATAAAGGCAAGTGTAGTGGAATAAGGCATTTTGCCTGTATTGTCAAACATATGCCAGAGCCAACGGGCCACAGGGAAATGCATGTTTTGTTTTTAAGCACACTTTTTTCTGTGGAGTGAATGTGATTTATGCGTCGTTGGATGACAATAGTTTTTAGAATGTTTACAACAAACTTGTTTCATTTCTTTTCACAAAATTAATTCATATCTTTTGCACTCGGTTAGATATCGAACATTCATAATTGTCCCGCCAAAGAACCACTCTTTTTTTAGTGAAAGTATGTTTACATTCACGTGAGGCCAACTAATAGCAGCTTATCTGTTTGTCTCATTACCTTAGTTATGACCCTTTCAAGATCACGTTCTTATAGATTGTCAACAGTTAACCAAAAAAACGTCCAATGTAAACTGCGCTTTTTTGTCTTTGATAACATCCTTGGATAAAATCTGGATGAAGACAAGGCTGTATGAAGACCCGATGCCGGTATTTTAATAAGTCAGTTTACAATATCTTATCCACGCATATAGGCAGTGAACTTAAGTTGAAATTCCTTTTTTACGCTAGAAGTTACATGACGGTTGACTGAATAGAGCTACGCTCAGGCTACAGGTTAAACGCGAAGGTTTAAACAAGACTTGGTCAAAACAAACACAATACCAGCCTGATTTACAAATCTCTTGACAGTGTTGTGTTGTGGTTATTTTTCGTGACCCAATATCGCTTAATAGCAGTAATATACTATCGAGTTTGAATATGTTAAGTATAAATCACTTTCAAACCAAAAGAAACTGCACAAGCGTCACCATACTCGTTCGGAAAGAGTCATCTGGTTTTTCACACAAGAGGTTCTACCCAGGCACCATTTTTCAGCTACAAAAGACAAAATAATTGTTACCGCACACANCAAGACTTGGTCAAAACAAACACAATACCAGCCTGATTTACAAATCTCTTGACAGTGTTGTGTTGTGGTTATTTTTCGTGACCCAATATCGCTTAATAGCAGTAATATACTATCGAGTTTGAATATGTTAATTATAAATCACTTTCAAACCAAAAGAAACTGCACAAGCGTCACCATACTCGTTCGGAAAGAGTCATCTGGTTTTTCACACAAGAGGTTCTACCCAGGCACCATTTTTCAGCTACAAAAGACAAAATAATTGTTACCGCACACACTTTTTTTCATCTACCGTATTGTTCGTATCTTAGCCACCAATCACACCGTTAGCAGACTGATGAGCCGTGACTACGCATTATGCACTATGCAACAACGTGCTCAAGCAACTGCTGCTAAGGATTATATTAGAACTATAAGAATATCAAAAATAGGAAAATAACATCTTAAAAAGAGTGTTAGAAAGTATCTAGTGAGATAGCACAGAAAACACGCTGTTATTGTCTTGAGTGAAGCCTCTCCGCAGAGTATTCCTTGCTTACATATCTGTGCAAAAATTGGGCGTGTTTAAAGTCGGCAAGTCGGCGAGTTTCTAGGTATTTTGT